CAGGCTCCTCCTCGTGCCCCCGTCCTTGGAGCCAGCGTCTCAGCGAGGGGCCGCAGCGTGACAGGAGCGGGACATGGGGCAGAAGGGCCCCCGGGACGTGTCGTGTCGTGTGGCGTCTGCAAGGGTCACTCTGGGCAGTCCGAGGTGTGTGCGGGGCCTGCAGCCGTCCCTTGGAAGCAGCCAAGGCCCCACGGGCGACAGGTGAGTAGGTCTTTCTGCTTTGACACGCTCAGCGGACGCTCAGCTTCTGCCTGGATGCACATCACCACGTAGCCTGCTCCAGCGCTAACACATCCAGTCATGCCAGCTCTTGCCTCTACTGCTGGCAGCACCCTCCCAAAACAATGAGCTGCACGTGGGCTGTGTGGTGGGAGAAACCTCGCTAAGGTTCGTTGTCTAGCTGTAATTTGATTGACAGACAACGCGGGTAAAGAAAGACAGCTGTTTATTTGCTCGAGCAAAGACCATAAAGCCAGCAAAAGGCAAAATGGCCCCCCTCTAAGGGTGAGGTGATCTTTTATACTTATTATAACAAGGCAAGACTTTATGGTTAACAAAAAAAGCAATACTTGGGCGGTGCTTTTCAAATCTTTGTAACAGCATATTTCTATTAAGCTGAACTAGCACTTTTTAAAAGCTAAAAGTTAAGTAACAGTAACATTACGATAGGTTAGCAAAAACTTGCACGGTAGTAGATACTTCTTAAGGACACGATCACTGTACTTAGAACAATGCTTCTTTGTCTTATCTTGCTTCTTGCTGTAGCTGATTTTCCAGCACACAGACACAGATCCACTTGCTGCATTTTACTCAGAAAATGCTTAACACAGTTAAAATGATTACTTGACACGAGCAAAGGCTTAGCTATCATTCTGCCTTGTGGTCAGCGGCATTGCTAGGCCACAGGTCATGCCTTGTATTCAGCTGTAAAGCTAATACTTCTTAATAATCTAAATTATTGTTAACCTAACAGTATGCTATCAGAAAACTATTCTATTTCAGGGTAATAACAAACATGCTCACTACATGCTGTCCAGCCAGACAGCATGTAGGGCCCAGGGTCAGAATATGCGGCTGCAGGGCCCCCATGTGGCAGCTGGGGCCCTGCGGGGAGCAGGAAGGGGCCAAGGGGGAGGGCCGCCCCCCTGCTGCCACATGCACTCCCGGGATGCAGGGGGGACCTGTGATCCCCAGATCTGTACATGGGAAGGCACAGGCTGCAGGCTCAGGTTCCTGCCCTGCTTCCCTCCTCTGGGCCTCTGTAGGCCAGTGAGCATGCCCCAGCACAACAGGAAGCAGCCAGGCCACACAGGGATTTCCTCATCTCTGTGAGCTCTGTGTTGCCCTGGTGATGTGTCCTCTGTGCGTGCTACTGCTTTGAGGGGCACAGCCCCATGTGCAGGAGGTGCGTTGCCACGGCAGCGTGGAGCTCACAGAGTGAGCAGCTTCTCTGCGCATGCCTGCTGTTGTCTGCTGCCTTGCTTCCCTCCCCCAGGGTCTCTGCAGCGTGGTGGGCAGCACCCAGGGCAGCAGGAAGTGGCTCAGCTGCGTGGAAAAGCTGCGCACCCCTCAAAGCAGAGGTATGCGCAGGAGGCTGCCAGGGCAGCGTGGAGCTTGCAGCAGTGAGGAGATCCCTGTGTGTCCCTGCTGCTCCCTGCTGCATTGGGTTGTGCCTGTCAGGCTGTGGAGGCCCTGGGGGAGGGAAGCAGGGTGGGAGCCGGAGCCCACAGCCTGCACCTGGCCTGCATACAGATCTGGGGGTGGGGGTGTGAGTTCCCCTGCCCCCGGGGGTGCACATGGTGGCAGGGAGACTGCAGCAGGGAGGAGCAGGGGCAGGGGACTGTGACCCCGGGTCCGTAGCCCTGGCAGCTGGATATCTTTGCGAGTATTTATCACTTTGTGAGGAGATCCCTGTGTGGCCCTGCATTGGGGCCAGGGCTGGATTTGGCCTGTAAGCTACGGGTTGAGCACCCTTGGTATAAAATAAGCCCTTGTGACTATTGTTTTTGTTAGACCTCGACTCCATGCGATGCCCAACTACTAGGTAGACAATGAATCAATGCCATCACGCATCACCTGGACACATTGCTCGTGTGCTTTATTCAAAATGGAGACAGCTTTGGATAAACTTCCAACAAACCAGGGAGCTGCCATGTACATTTGTTTTTTCCATATTCATACACCTTGGTTTATGCTCATTAACATTTACCCCACCTTTGTCCCTTCTTTGTTCCACCTTTAGTCCTTCCCATTTTAAGCTCCGCCTCTGTTTGCTGTTTGTTTCATTAGCATGGAATTGCCTGTGTATTTCACTTATTTACATGTCTTTTTGCTATGAGTGTATGTCTAAGACCCTGACCACTGCTTCTTTTGTTCACTTGGGCAGACTTTGACCAAAGCCTGAAAGCTTCTGGAGGCTTATTTACCAATCACCATTCACCTTATGCATATGTTTATCTTGGATTCTCTTACCAGTTACATGTTGTCTTTCACATTCCGGTCTGTTTTTCAGTCCCATTTGTACCATCTCCACATTCCTAAGACTTCATCTCATTCACAGCATACAGACTTACACAGACTCGCTTGAAAATGGTTGACACAGTTAAGATGGCTACTTAGCATAAGCAAATGGCTGGCATAAGCATTCATAAGCAAAATCTGCTTTATCTTCTAATGATAGCTGGTGGTCTGCATCCTGTTCTTCTTACACAATGAACTATATATCTTACAACATTACTATATTGTTAGGAAAATGCTTGCCTAGGCATCTTGCAATGTAACTTTTAACATACCATTCTGCCTTGAAGTTAGCAGCTTGCTAGGCCACAGGTCATAGCCTTTTATTCAGCTGCAGATCCAATGCTCCCCAAGATTTAAACGCTGTCACCCTAATAGTTTTCTTCTGGGAAAAAAAATCACTTTCTTAGGACAAGTCTACATGGTGTCCTTAGCAAGCCTGGCAGGTCTGAGAAACATGCCATGCCCACTTCCTGCTGCTCCATGGGTATGCACCAAAGCTTGGAAATTTGGCAGCATTTGGTTTGGCTTGGTCCTGAGTGCCTTCTGGGAGGCACACCAAAGGTGGTGTGCTCAGTGCTGAGCTAAACTGGCTACGCTGCCTAAGTTCTAGGCATTAGTATGTATGAAGCAGAAGCAAGTGAAAAGGGGTGCTTTTCAGTGGCAGTTTGCCACAGAGGCAGTATAAATGAGCTCTCATCATCTCTTTTCAGAAGCCAGTTTTTGGTTGTGATCTGAGTGACCCAAGTGTCCTCTATATAGATATGAGAGAAATTTATGGGTATAGATTGAGCCTAGAGTGTGAAGATTTAGGCCATGTGTAGATGACACGGGCATTAATGTCGAGTGCCTGAAGATTTTAACCTAGCGCTTTTTTTGTGCAGCATGTTTGTGTTTGCACAACACGGCATTCGTGTTCACACAACACAATGCTTTTAAGTGAGTTAAGTCTCCTGTGTCATTCCCTGAAGATTTCAGTAAGGGGAGTCAAATACCAATCTACCCCCCATAATGTCTTTCCTAATGTATTACAGCAGGAGGTACATGTAAACTGGCCTTTCCTGTCCCCACCCCCAGCCTCTCACTGGCAGTCTCACCTGGGCACAGTCACCCCAAAAACCTTGTCACTTGTTGGTCTGGTCTCTCTCCGTTAGTATGCAATCCCAAAGACCCCATTGCAATTCCCATTCCAAAGACAAGCCATATGAATCTTCCCCTCCCATTCCTTTCCTTTCCCATCCTGCCATATACAAATATATGTGCTTTTTCTTTTATTTACTATGTAACTGCTATGATATCATAAAATGTTCAGGGTTTAGAGTAGCGGGTGGGTGTTTGTTGCCACCCTGTTGATTGGCGGTTGCTGTTGATTGAGGTTAGTGGTGGCACCGAGATGGCGACCTCTTCAACCTTTTTTTTTTTTTTTTTTCCTGGTGGTTTTTGGACTACATTTCCCAGCATTCCTAAGCTCATTGATCTTCATACAGTTTCCAGTGGGGGCTCCCATTGGAACCCTCCCATTCCCTGCCCAGGTTCCGCTGTCAATCTGTGTAGTGCAACGTACAGCTTTTGGAGGTGTGTTGTGAAATGTTTTATAAATGTTTTTGAAAATGTGGGTTGCTGTTTGGCTCGGTCCCCCACCCGCCTAGCCTGCCAAGAGCTATAGTTAATCTTCTCGCCACCATGGTGGGGTGGGGGGTGCTCTTCAGATGTAGGTGATGGTGCATAATGCCCCCCTCCCCCAAACCACTGACAGTCTGGAAGCAGCAAACCCATAGCCCAGTCTACATTTCCTCTTCCCTGCCCTGACCATCCTCCCCTCTGCCCCCTGTCTGCAACACCACAAGCCCTTGTATACAGACACAGGTTTAAAGTGTAAATGAATTTATTGTAACATAACCAAGAGAGAGAACAAAGCACTCGTAGGTGCTGTTGTCAGCAATATATCCTGCCAGACAATCGCACAAGGACTGCTTGACCATCCTTTCCTTGAGCGTATCTCCTGTTAGGCTGCTCAAAACTTTTGCCGCTTCAGGGAAAACAGGCTGCGCTTCTGCAATAAAATTATTTTGCAGAAGCAGGCAGGTAGGTATTGCTTTTTTGCAACATTCTGGGCCATTGAGGAGCCATCCCAAAATACAATGGCCTTATTTACCCCATCACCAGGTCTTTGTTGGTAAACTTGGTGCTTCTTCACCTTTGGGTGCTTTGATACATACAGGTAATGACTTTACAGTCCTTGAAACTTTCCCAGACCATCATGCAAGCACAGCCAGAGTATAAAGGCACCCCTTCTCCCAAAATCTGCTAGCCCCCTTTCACAAATTGCTTGTGCTGTTGACCATGAACTGATTCGCCATGTCTTGGAAAGCCAAGGTCAGCAGTATGGAGTTGACGGCCCAGGAGGCTGATACCTCCAAATGCCCGTGAACCCAACTGGACCCGAGAAGAACTGGAGGACTTGATCAACATTTGGTCAGAGCAAAGGCTCATAGACAGGCTGGAAAGTAGAAAGAATAAGCCTGTTTATGTTGAGTTTGCAAAAGGCATGCAGGTGCGAGGCCACAATTGTGACTGGACCCAGGTCTGGTGCAAGATGAAGTCCCTAAGATCAGAGTTTTACCGAGCCAAAGATGTGAACTCTTGTTATGGGGCTAGTCGCACAATTGCTCCCTTCTACGATAAGCTGTCCATCATTCTCTCCAAGGATGCGGGTGACAACCCAGGTATGGAGACTTTCAGCACTGGGTTTGGGCAGGAGGAGGTAGCAGCAGCCCCTCCTGAGGGTGAAACCATGAGCATGTCTCAGCTCTACGCAGACCGCTCCCTGATGACCATGAATGGCAGGAAGAACTGTCGGTCACCATACACTTATTGCCACTTAGCCCCTCTGTTCCATGGAGTAGCACAGATGATAAAGCAGAGGAGATGGAGGGTCAGGAAGAAACCCATACTGCCGGTACATCATCTACCGCTACCAAGACCCAAGAACATGCTGGACCTGGTAAGTAGCTTGTAGCGTGCCTCTTGCTACTGCCAGGCCATTCCTGGGTTCATGCTGGGTTTGGGGCCCAGGAAGGAAGGGGAGAAATTAATGTGTTGCTGTAGGTGGGTTGCCATGTTCTTTCGGTGGTGGTGCATAATGGGTTTGCTAGCTTGTAATGTAACAGATGCCGAACTAATTATTTGTTTTATTAATTTTTTGCAGCTAGCATGGGCAGTGGCAACCGTGGGCCTGTTTCCAAAGTGGGTACTTGTAAGTTTTAGGCAGTATGAGTGGTACCCCACTGTTGTGGGGTCTGTTTTGGTGCCTGCCAGCATTTTGTGCACTGCATGGTGGGGGTGGGGGTATATACTTCCCTCCTCTTGCGGGGAAGGCAACCACTGCTTTTTTCTCTGTTTATCGGCCACCATGACCCATGGCTGCTTGGCCACCCCCAGGCCATGGGCCCCCTGCTAGCAATACAACAGAGCGCTGCAGAGATTTTCACAGCAAGCAGAGATGGTCCTGCGAAACTGCACTCGAGGTTTTGGCGTAGTCCTCACTAGCCAGAGTGGCATGCGCAGATGCCTGGCAGGACAAACTCCTTGAGTCACTGCGTAAGGATGATGCCATCCTCAAGGAAGAGAGACACCGTGTGGAATTTGAAAGATATGGCCAATGAGTCCCATGTTGAATTACAGAGGTCACAGGACAATTTCAATGATGCCTTTCAGAGTGTGCAGAACTACCTCATAAATAAATGGGTACCACACCCAAAAGGGAAAAGTTGGTCCACTTGGCTTGCCTCTGCAGGAAAACCTGAATGGAGAATTACAGCTGAGCCTGTTCCCCCTAACTCAGTGGGGTCACAGGATGGCTGTACAACTGCCACCAGGGCCAGGAGGGCACCCCTGCATTTCAGGGAGACAGGGGCGGTTCATGGTCATGGTGGGATGAAGGCAAAGAAGCACAAGTAACTGCTTATAATAAATAGTGTGTTGCAAACAGTAAAACCTCATGGTTTCCTGGCTTCCTGTGTCTGCCTCCATATCTACCCTTACACTGCTTGGTTACAAAGGTGGATTTCGTTCATTGTTTGGGTTCATTTCTCTGTTCATTTTTCCTGCCACTTGTTGCATGGTGTCAGTGGGGAAGGGTTGGCAGTCTGTCTTGCACAGGTACACAACAGGGCTCCAGAGGTAAACAGGGTCTGCCTGGGTGGGTTGCAACACACAAGAGCTGCCCTGCACACCAGCATTTTGCAAAGGCAGCACTCACTCTTCAGTCATTTTTGAGGCCATGCTGCTTCTGATTTCACCTCCCTTAGTAGGGAGAAGGGAAATGGTGTCCCCCCCCAGCAGCCTGGCTTGCTTTTTGGCAAGCCACCAGCCACTTTGCAAAGTCACCCACAGAGGCTCATGCTTTTCCAGGCTCTTTGGCTCACTCTTCACAACCTTTGCATTTTCCTTAGATGGAAACTTTGAAAATGTGCTCTTTAAGTATTCTTTTCATGCTCTTTTCCAGCCAAGTGCTAGGCACTGTCTCCTTTATTTTGGAACACCAAAGCAAGGCTGTGGGTGTGGGGGCAGCATCGGATTTAAGACTTGCTTTGCTTGCACACAAACCCAGGGATTTTGCAAACTTTTCCACCGGCCTTAGTGAGGCCGCAGCTGGAGTACTGTGTCCAGTTTTGGGCTCCACAATTCAAAAAGGATGTGGAGAAGCTTGAGAGAGTCCAGAGAAGAGCCACGCGCATGATCAGAGGTCAGGGAAGCAGACCCTACGATGACAGGCTGAGAGCCCTGGGGCTCTTTAGCCTGAAAAAGCGCAGGCTCAGGGGTGATCTGATGGCCACCTGCAAGTTTATCAGGAGTGACCACCAGTATCTGGGGGAACGTTTGTTCACCAGAGTGCCCCAAGGGATGACGAGGTCGAATGGTCACAAACTACTTCAAGATCGTTTCAGGCTGGACATAAGGAAGAACTTCTTTACTGTCTGAGCCCCCAAGGTCTGGAACAGCCTGCCACCGGAGGTGGTTCAAGCGCCTTCATTGAACACCTTCAAGATGAAACTGGATGCTTATCTTGCTGGGATCCTATGACCCCAGCTGACTTCCTGCCCTTTGGGCAGGGGGCTGGACTCGATGATCTTCCGAGGTCCCTTCCAGCCCTAATGCCTATGAAATCTATGAAATTCTTTTTGCACTCTTTTCCAGCCCAGCACCAGACTGTCTGTTGTTTTTTTTTCCACACCAAAACGAGGCTCCTGGTGGGAAGGGCTTGCCCCACTGAAGGACTATAAATTGGGGGAGCAGAGGTTGGGGTGTGTGTTCGCTGTATCAGTAATGGAGGTTTGAGGCAGTGAGGGACAACAGCACAGTGGGGGCAGAGAAGGACTCATCCCAGTCATGAAACTTGCCCCTGGGGGGCACAGCAATGCGAATCCAGGGTTCGAGAAGATTTCAGGCTTATCATGTGGGGTGCAATGAAGCTTCGAGTGCTATTTGATGCCTGCACCTCTGCGACTCAAAAGAGGACATGGCAATGTGCTACACACCACCTTTGGTAAGTGACACCTGACACTTGTCTGTCCCCTGAGGGTGGCAGGGTCATCTCTAGGGGGGCACAAATAGAAACAACCGACCTGGGCACAGTACTTTGGGGGCCCTGCGGAGACAGGCGGAGCAGACGGGGTGACTCCTCAGCGTTGCCGCCGGCCTTGCATCCACATGCTTGCCAACTCCCCTCTCCTCCCTCCCCACCCCCTGCCATGGCAGCAGCACGCAGGATCAGTTCTGCACAGGGGTGCTTATTTGCCCAAGGCCCTGCACCAGTCACCTACCATGGGTCTCCAGAACCCAGGGGCCAAGCCCAGGGTGCAGCTGCCCTCACTCCCATGTGCCCCAGACAAGCTGCCTTCTGCAGCGGTGGGGAGGAGAGGGGGCGAGTGGCATGGACTGGTGGTGCCCCCAGGCACCTGCCAATGGTGCCCCCTTTGTGTCTGCACCCAGGGCGGCCACCCCACCCACCACACGCCACTGCCCTGCATCCTGATAGGGTCATCTCTGGTTAGTTCAAATTTATTGTAAACGGGCCTCCTGGAATTTTATGGGTGTGAAGGAAGGTACGCAAGGTGCACAAAAGGCACCAGTACAAATTCCTATGTTCTTTCTATCCTCCCTCCCTCTGGTTTTTAGATCCCCTTCCACTGCTGGCCGCAGGCTGATCAATCCCTGTTGGTGTGACAAGAGGCAGAAAGAGAAGATGAAGAGGATGACAATACTTCCTTCAGGATTCTATCAACAAATGAACTATTATGCATTATAATTATAGTTGACTTTCATCCTGACTTATATAGACTTATAATATTATAACAGGTAATCCTAATAATAGGAGTCAATAATACTTTAGTTCCAATAGTAATATATTAATAAGTTTGTAGTAATAGTAATATTAATGATTATTTATTAATGGTCAATTCCTTATCCCAGCATTTCAAAGCAGGTAGATCTGCCTTATCACCACCCCTTCCCCCTCAACTGCCTTTTGCAGCACGCATAGCACACATCCTGGGCACCCAACACATACATCCTGGGCCTCCACCATATATATATATATATATATATAGCCAATATATAATACACTTATGTTATATAGACTTATAATTACAGTTCAATTCCTTATGATGAGAAAGCAGATAGTGAGCATAATGCAGGTGATTATGTGAAAACAAGCAGTAAGGCAAAAGTTCTTGACTTCAGGAGGGCCAACTTCAATGAGCTAAGGGATTAGTAAAACATTGGGGACTCAGAGCTTCAATGAGATGAGAGCCCAGGACAGGTGGTTGTTCCTTAAGGAACCAATCCTTCGTGCTCAGAAGGAGTCAGTCCCAACACAAACCAAAGGGGGCAGTAGTAACCGGCAGCACACTTATAAGATGGGAAACTCCCTTCTTGAGAGCGCAGAGGCAGAAAGGGATTTTGGAGTCATCATTGACTCCAAGATGAACATGGGCCGACAATGCGAGGTCACGGTCAGCAGGGCTAACCAGACCCACAGGTGCATCTTAAGTAGGGCCAAGGAGGTGATCCTCCCCTTCTATGCAACACTGGTCAGGCTGCAGCTGGAGTCCTGTGTCCAGTTTTGGGCACCGCACTTCAAGAGGGATGTGGACAACATTGAGAGGGTCCAGAGGAGGGCAACCCGCATGATCCAGGGACAGCAGGGCAGACCCTACAATAAGAGGCTACAGGACCTGAACCTGTTCAGCCTTCACAAGAGAAGGCTGAGGGGGGACCTTGTGACCGTCTATAAATGCACTAGGGGGGACCAGAAGGGTTTGGGGGAGACCTTGTTTCCCCTAGCACCCCCCAGGATAACAAGGAATAACGGCCACAAGTTGTTGGAGAGTAGGTTTAGATTAGACATCCATAGGAACTACTTCACAGTCAGGGCGGCTAGGATCTGGAACCAACTTCCAAGGGAAGTGGTGCTGGCTCCTACCCTGGGGGTCTATAAGAAGCGGCTCGATGCCTACCTGGCTGGGGTCACTTGAGCCCAGTTTCCCTCCTGCCCAGGCAGGGGGTCGGACTTGAAGATCTACAAGGTCCCTTCTGACCCTACTTCTATGATTCTATGAAAAAGCCCCCTTGGCTCAGTAAAGGCATCCAGGGCAAAAAAGGTGGCATACAATCAGTGAAAGCAAGGGGCAATCGCCAAGGAGGATTACACTTCCGTTGTTCATAATTGCAGGGAGGTGGTTAGGAAGGTCAAGGCACAGATGGAACTAGGGCTGGCAACCAAAATGAAGGATAACAAAAAGTCCTTTTTCAAATATATAGGGAATAAGAAGAAGGTACCAGGCAATGTGGGGCCCCTACAGGACAGGCTTGGCAATCTGGTGATTGCAGCAAAGGAAAAAGCTGATCTCTTCAGTGAGTTCTTTGCCTCCATATTTCTGAGCAGGGACTGGGACAACTTCCCTGCTAGGATTATGGACAGGCTCAGGGAACATGACACCA